TGAACCGGGATTGAATCCCGCGTTGGACCCTTTGTTTTAAATATATGAATAACCTTCACATATTATTCATTGTTGCAATTATCATAAACTAGGTTGCTCTTTTTGAGAGGTACCTAATAAAGTGATTTTGGAACAAGGAACAAGGATTCTATACAACATAAGAAGTCGGTGGACGAGTGGGTAACACCCTCGATTCCCGACAGTCATGAACTGGGATTGAATCCCACGTTAACATTTTGTTTAATATGTGAATAAACTTCACATATTATTCATTGTTGCAAATACCATAAACTAGGTTGCTCTTGTTGAGCGGTACCTAATAAAGTTATTTTTAGTCTTATACAGATTCTCCAAGCAGAAATGTAGGGTACATACAGGAATAACAGTAATAATACCTTAATGGTAACATGATATTTATATACAGAAAAATATACAAAGACAATCATTCAAATAAATATATTAGTGATTTTTCTATTCTTTCTTTGGTTCACCATCTTCTATCCATTGTGACTTGATTAGCATTTTGCCTTCGACTCATGAGATAAAAATCGATGTCTCACTTCTTCAAAGTTCAGAGCGGATGGTCAGTGTCTAATACTTAGAAGTAACCCTAGTTTAAAACCTCTCCTTTTATAAAGACATTTAGGACAGAATTAACCTTGCTAATGCACCAAAATAGTTATCTTTCTTTTTATAAGAAATAGAAGCAAAGTACCCTAATATGCATTAAAAAGTAATATTTATTTCAATAATTAGGCATATTCGTATATATGGATATATTCCATAGCGTTGGAAATTTCAGAAAATATTTTAAATACTTAATCACGACTACTTCGTTAAAAAGTTTCTTTTATTTTTCTTTCTTATCTCCACACAATCACACTAAGGTATCAAGCTTGTAGAGATTGAGATGTTGTCTGCTGTGGATGAGTAGATCTCATTAAAGGAGATTTGATATCCACAATGAGAGATTGGGTGAAGTAGAATGCGTCTGCTTTTGTCATTAAGACTGAGAGCACTACTCAGTAGCTGGCCGACTTAGCTCCAAAAGAAATAGCCGCCTCTGACATGAGGAACAGATATCATGTACAGCCGCTCCTAACATGGAGTACAGACTCATCCTGTATCCCTGGATTAGGAGTCCTTACAAGGTACTATCAGCCAGGCCAGCTGAACCCAGGTTTTTTAGCAAACTTGTTACTGCTCCCCCCTGCACCCCCTAATTAAGAAAACCATACATACAAAATATTGAAATTTTGAAAAAATAAATATTAAAGAGAAGTAACACTCGAGCTTCCTTGTTTTTAAGAAATACAATTATTTAAAAATGATCAC